AGTAGTTACAACTAGAGAAGGAGCCGCGCCAGGGGACGAGGTAGTCACCACTGGGGGCTTGGGGCTCTACCCAACCACAGAGGAGGGAGGGGAGCCAGGGGAAGGAGTCAGAGAGGCCAAAGGAGGAGCAAGGTCGGGGCCCAATGCAGCGTAGGCTACAGAGCCCGGTCTTCCAATACGGACCGACTCGGGGGGGGCTTGGTCGCCCACCCCACGAGCCTGAGAAGGTAAACCAGAAGCAGCCGAAACAGGGGTTATCATCTTGACGAAAAGAAGAATTCATTCACGAATGTGCCCCCACACCCACCATGGAGCCACAATTAGAGGCAGGACACCCAACAAGAAGCTATCGCCGATCTTGCCAGGGCCTCCTAGGGGTGCGTCGTGAGTATACGCCCCACAAACGTCACCTTAAGAAACCGACAGTCCGTCGAGATCGGGTTCAGTGACGAAAGGGGGATTGACAATAAAAGGTTTCCCTCGCTCTCGACGTCGGGTACTATACTTCTACGGGTGCAAGAGTATGCCTCCTCAAGCACCCGGGCGTCAAAATAGAAGAAGTCCAAGGGAAGAACCAGAACAAGCAAAAGGTCGGCAGGAAACGGCAAACAGATAGGAGAAGAGGGGGGAGAAAAACGAAACAGAAGGAAAAGGAAAAGATGCCCAGCATAATTGGAGAGGACGGCAGCAGGAGCACAAGGCTAGAAAAGGACAAAGGACTGTCCCAAGGAGCATCACACTCCGGCAGCCGCCCACTAAGCCCCCACACGGCGACAACGAGCTGAGTGGGGAGGGGGCCACACCTACCAAACTACCCGTCAGTTTGTGTGCTAAAGCTTTGAAAGCATTCTAAATCCAAGGCGATAAAAACACATTCTTGAAGTAAAGCCAAGTACCTTTAATATCGAGAAAAGACTAACAAAAGCAGCTGTTTGGATCCCGTCAACAAACCACATGCTGTTGGAAGAGTGCACCTTCTCACAGGCCGCTGCCGCCCCCCGCAACCTCACCAGAGCCGTTTCCCATTACGGTGGTAGGAGGACGGCCACGAGGCCTCTACTTTCAAGAGAACGTTGTTTGTTACCAGTAACATATGACCAACAAGCCTGCCAGCGGGTAAGGATGGAGGTATGGATAACCATGTAAGAGTCGGAATAAGGAATACCTTTACGAGAGATGGGACACTAGCGGACAACTAGCCTGGTGGCAGCATCCGCACACTTATTGGAAGACACAAATATGGCTGGGAACCCAACAAAACTCAACCGAGTTAAATTTACTGTGAACAAGAAACAGCCAATGCTAGAACTCTACAACCACTGGATGAACCGGATTAAAGGACCCCGAGAGCCATGAGGGCACTACGAGAGTCAACAACAACAAAGGAAGATTGACAACGAGAGAGGAGACGAAGAGCATAACAAAGCTCCGCTGTGAAGATGCTAGTCTCCGGAGGTAAGCGACACACAAGTGTGATCAGGAAAAAACAACAGTAGCCAAAACCGTCCGCAGACAGACTCATCGGTGAAGACGGAAACTGAGTGCAAGTGAGAAGAAAAGTGCTCAAGGAAAGGGCGTTTTAGAACCGTAGGAGGTGTAAGAGCTTTAGTGATGCGTGTCAACGATCTACAAAACTGCGGAACGGGGACTCTCCACGGGGGCAAAGAAGGAACACAAGGAGAAATGTTAGAAATAGGAACGGGGAAAGAATACTGTAAGCGAGATTACCCGAGAAAGAGGAAGGTGGTGAAGAGGAACAAGAACCGCAGGAGGGGTTAAAGCTAAAGCATGACAGGTGAGAGGAAGGATGTTGCAAGGACCCGCAAGATAGCGAGGACAGTTGCGATCACGGCGGTCCTGGAGAAATAGGAAGCCAGTGCCAACATACAAGCCGAGGATGGGAGTCGAACGGAAGGCAACAGAACTGAGGCGCAACCCAGTATGGTGCAAAGCATCAAGACGGCAATGAGTAGGAGAAGCAGACTAGTAAGCGGGGCAACCATAATCGACCTTAGACAGGACGAGATAGGAATGTAAAGCAAGGAGTGCGCGCCTATCCGCTCCCCAAGAAGTATGGGACAATACTCTAAGGAGGGCAAGGGCCTTAGAGCACTCAACACGGAGGTAAGAGATATGGGGAGACCAAGACAAACGAGTGTCAAGGAATAACCCCAAAAGCTTCGCAGAATCTTTGTACTGAAGGGGATGACCATAAAGTGACAGGAGGGACGAAGAACGATCTGTTTCCGAGTAAAAGTCATGGCACAAGTCTTAGTAGTAGAGAACTATAAGCAATAATCGGTGGCCCAAGACGACACGGCATCAATCGCAAGTTGAAGTCTGCGTTGAAGGAGAGGCGAATCACCACCCTGACAACAAAGGGTAAAATCATCGACAGAGAACGGAGAAGACGCCTGAAGGAAGAGAGGAAAGAAGACTATTGAGGGCAACCAGAAAAAGTAGTGCTCAGAACACTTCACACCTTTGTATTGCTGAAATGACGCAGAAAGATTGATACCAAGCCTCACCCGAAAGGAACGACGAGAGGGGAAGCTGCAGAAAATGAGGGAGATGACCACGAAGGCCAAAAGAATGAGGCTGGGACAGAATATGATACCGCCAAGTGGTGTCGTAAGCCTTTTCCAGGTAAAAAAGGACGGCAACAACGGAGGTCTTCACAGCAAAAGCAGTACGAATATAGACCTCTAAGTTCACCAGGACATCTGTTGTGCTCCAGCACTTGCGGAAACCAAATTGAGAAGGGGAGAGGAGGTAATTGTGTTCCAGGAACCACATCAGACGAACGTTAACCATACGTTCAAAGTTTGCAGACAACTTGTGAGAACAATAGGGCGAAAGTCCTTTTGGGATGTTTGCAGAGACCCTGGATTGCGAACGGAGGACAACGGCATCGAGCCAGTCCTCGGGGACTGACCACGACTCCCAGATCCGATAATACAGACTCGGTACATACCGCGATGTGCACGGAGGGAGATGGTGAAGCATGTGTAGCAGCCGTACGGGCCGTACAGCCGTTTAGCCGTACGGCTGGCCCTACGGGCCACTGCACTCTCCTTCCGAAAGCAAAGAAAAAAAATCCACTGTCTGCCGACAGCGGGGTCTCTTCCAGGCTGCACGCTAACAGCCCGAGCACAGTCTGCATTCCACCAGGGAACGCACTTCCGTTGACCGAGAGGAAGAGAGGAATAGACCCGAGAGCAGCGTCAAAGACAGCGTCATGAAAAAGGAGGAAAGAGGGAGAGGCAGAAGGGAGAGGTCAGAGAGAGTAGCACCGAGGGTAAATAGGTTCCAGTCCACTTTAACAAACTGCCACCTAGGGAAGCAGAGGGTGAAAAGGTAACAAGGAAGGTGAAATGGTCACTGCCATGGAGGTCATCAAGAACCTGCCACATGAAATCTAAGTAAAGAGAAGAGCAAAAAGAAAGATAGACAGGAAAGGGTGCGAGTCCGAGACCAAATGCGTGGGCTCACCAGAATTCAGAAGACAGGGAAGAAGAGAGGATAAACTGCTCAAGAAGGAGACCTCGGGTGTTCGTCAGAACATCAACCCAAAGGGAATGACAATTTAAATCACCCAGCAGGAAATCACTCCGACAAGGAGTCCAGTAGGTACAGATCAGGAAATAAAAGCGGGACACTCGGGGTGGGGGTGGGGGGGTGGGGGATAAATGGAACAAACAGTGTACCATTTCCCCACAAAGATACGAGCAGCAGAACAATGGAGAGGCGAAGGAAAAAGTAAGGAGACAAAGGGAACATCAGAGCGAATCAAGAGCAGAAACGTTAGGAGCCCCAGCAACTGGGGGGGGGGGGGGGAAAGGAATAGCCACGAAAGCGACCAGGAAGAGCACCAAGCATCGGCTCCTGGAGACAGACACAAAGTGGGCAAAAACCGCGAAATCAGAATTTAGGGTTAAAGGAAATTGGCGTAATAACCCCGAACGTTCCATTGAAGAATAAACATTGACGAGAAGAGAAAAGGCAACAGAACAAGGTAGAAAACGGTGAAAGAGGAACATATCACATTAAAGAAGAACAGGATCAGCAAAATCAAGGTTAGGGGGGGATGGGTAAATTGAGCAAAGACGGAGGGAATGAAGCGAGATAACAGATCAGAGGTGTAAGGGCGGGATCCTGAGGAGGAGAAAGAGGAAGGAGGTAACCGACAGGAGCGGTCAAGGACAGAAGCAGGGAGAGGGGGAGTAGAAAGAGGGGAGCGCATCTCAGCAAGGGCAGCAACCGAGAGGGAAGTGGGGGGCCAAAGAAACCTCCATAGCAGGGGAAGGAGCTATAGAGTAAGAAGTAGGGGCCGAGGAAGAAATCAAAGCCTTCTTACCCGCAGGAGAGGAGGAAGGAGAGAAGCCAGGCTTACGCTTCTGAGAGAGAGCCCGGTGTCCCAGCAACTACGTACTGGGCAACGGATTCCAGCATCTCAACAAACTGAACGAGAGCACACATGCCGGCCGTTAGGAGAGCGATGGACATCAGCCCACACCGACAGACGGACTAGCATAGCCTAGTGTTATGCAATGAAATTATAACTACCAAATATTCCTCACGTAGGTCATCCTAATCACAGCTCCGCCGAAACGCTCAATCACAGTTGCCAATAGCAAAAACCTCTACAACAGTACCTGTTGCTCTCACTTAACTAGTAGTTGTAAAGGATGAGGTCCACCAGGGTACAGAGCAGAGCCTAAAACATTTTAAGTTAATTTGCGTTCTTTCCTCGAGAATGAAATGTCACTCACTCTGGTGGAATTAGTCATGGTATGATCACAGGAAGCATTACAAATATCCTGATGGCTGTCAGTTATCTCGCTGATTAAAGTGCGAAACAACTAAAACATCGTCACTTGGATTATTTCTTAATATGGTTCTTTAAGGAAGAACTGCACTTGACCCGGACAAGCCAAAACGTTCACAAAATTCAAAAGCTCCAGCAACAATACTTCAGTATTACAGATGACTTGCCAATTAGAATCTTAACTATTTCCACACACCTTTCCTGAAGAAGTCTCCTTCGCTCTTCTGGGCACCTTGGTGATAATTTGCAGCATCTTTTTCACTTCGAGCTTTCATCGAGGAGAAAGAACAGTGTTCGGCAACCTGGCGAAAGGAACCAATATTATGACCACAACAGGTTCAAACACAACAGGTTTCTCACACACGCACACACGCGGGCACGCGCGCGCACACACACCTGTGTGTGTGAGAGAGAAACTAGGGGCAGAGTTTTTCCACCCTATGCCCGTTACCCAATAGTAAATAGGTACCTGGAAGTTAGTTAGCTGTCACTGGCCACTTCCTGGTGGTGTGGAAAAAAAATTATTATTAGTAGAAACAGTTTATCGACAGTTGAGAGGCAAGCCGAAAGAGCAGAGCTTAACCCCCACAAGCACAACTAGGTGAATACCTAGATATCCCCCCCCCCCCCCCACACACACACACACTGATGTGGGGGGTCAGCGGCTGACTAGACAGAACGCTGGATGCGTGATCGAGCCCAGGACCCCGTGGTCCTGGGCTCTATTCCCGGCACCGGCGAAAAAACAATGGGCAGTTTCCTTCACCCCAATGCTCATGTCATCTAGCAGTAAATAGGTTCCTGGGAGTTAGACAGGTGCTACGGGGTGCTTCCTCTGTGTGGTGCGGGGGGAAAAAAAAAGTAAGTTTGTGACAGTTTAATGGCGGGCCAAAAGAGCAGGGCTCAACCCCCCCCCCCCCCCACCGGCAAGCACAACTAGGTGAATACATAATGACAACCGTCCCCCTTTCCCCATGGGGCCAGACACCCAAGTGGACATCACTTGGGGATTATCTCAGGGAACTGAGATTGATCCCCGGCGATGGCAAAAACAAATGGGCAGAGTTTCACCCTCATGCCCTGTTTAACTCCCAGGTACTATTTACTGCTAGGTAAACAGCTGCAACTGACCGTAAAAAATAAAAGACACATGTATGAATGTATAGATGAACTGAAGAAGGCAGCAACACTAGCCCACAGAATGAGAGCAAAACTGCTGATCATGGGGGACCTAAATCATTGAGAGAAATTGGGAATCAAGGAATCCCCATCGAGGGGACGAAACGTGGGGAGCAAAATTTGTAGATGTTATAGACAGGAATTTTCTAACACAACATGTGAAGGAAGACAAGGGAAAGGAGGAGATGCACCGAGCCTATTAGACCTGATTTTCACCCAGAACGTAGAAGAGAATTTAGAGCATGAAATACCTCTAGGGACCAGTGACCATTGTGTCCTAGTCTTTGACTACATGATGGAACTCAAACTTATGACCATGGGACAAGAGATCTGGATAAGGAGTCGACTACAGGAAAGGGGACTAAGAAGATAAGGGACTATCTGGGTGAAGTGCAGTGGGAGGAAGAAATTTGAGGAAAAACAATCCAAGATATGATGGACCTAGTCATACAGAAATGCCAGGAGGCCGAAGAGAGATTTATACCAACAGTAGAGGGGAAAAAAATAAGTAGGAATATAATAAACCATGGTTTAATAGACAGTGTCAGGAAGCAAAAATGGCCAGCAGGTGGGAGTGGAGGAAGTACAGAAGACAATGGACAGGAAAAAAAATCAGATGCAGAGCTAGGAACGATTACATTAACATAAGAACATCGGAAAGGGACTATGAGAACGATATTGCAATCAAAGCGAAAAAACAACCCAAGTTACTACAGTCATAAGAAAAATGTCGGTGAACGACCAAGTGACAAGACTAAGGAAGACAGAGGGAACATATACTGAAAGTGACAAGGAAATGTGCAAGGCACTGAAAGCCAGTTTCCATGGAGTGTTTACTACCGAGCCTGACCAGCTCCCATTGTTGGAAGGGGTTACCCTAGATGAAAGACGATCAGATATAGGAGGTGACAGCAGAGGAGGTAATGAGAGAGTTGACAACTGTAGATGCAACTAAAGCAGTTGGACCAGAGAAAGTATCACCGTGGATACTAAAAGAAGCAGCGCAGGCCCTCAGCGTGCCTCTGGCAATGATCTTTAATGAGTCACTTATGTCGGGAGAATTGCCCAGTTACTGGAAAAAGGCAAATGTCGTGCCGATCTTCAAGAAAGGCGATAGGGAGGAGGCACTTAACTATAGGCCCGTATCATTGACAAGCATCCCCTGTAAAATACTAGAAAGAATAATTAGGCTACGACTGGTTGCACACCTGGAGAACATTAGGTTTGTGAACAAACGTCAACATGGGTTCTGGACAAGGAAATTGTGCCTAACAAACCTTCTGGAATTCTATGATAGAGTAACGAGGAAAAAACAGGACAGATGGTTGGGCAGACTGCATATTTCTGGACTGCCAAAAAGCCTTCATACAGTACCCACATGAGACTGCTGTTCAAGCTCGAGAGGCAGGTGGGGGTGGGGGGGGGAAGGTCCAAGCATGGATATGGAACTACCTAACAGGAAGGAACCAAAAGAGTTACAGTAAGGGGGCGAGAAGTCGGACTGGCGAACAGCAACAAGTGGAGTACCACAAGGATCGGTGCTGGGACCAATTCTATTTCTTGTATATGTTAACGACATGTTTACAGGCGTAGAGTCCTACATGTCGATGTTTGCGGATGACGCAAAGTTGATGAGAAGAGTTGTGACACGAGGATTGCAGGTTCCTCCAAGAAGACATGAACAGGTTGCAGAGATGGTCAGAGAAATGACTACTGGAATTCAACACAAGCAAATGTAAAGTTATGGAAATGGGACTAAGATAGGAGACCAAAGGGACAGTACACAATGAAGGGGAAGCAGCCTACCTGTGACGACGCGCGAAAGAGACCTGGGTGTGGACGTAACACCTAACCTATCTCCTGAGGCACAAATAGGTAACGACAGCAGCGTACTCTACACTGGCAAAAGTTAGAACATCATTCAGAAACCTAAGTAAGGAGCCGGTCGGCTCCTTACTTAGGCACAATAGTAGTCAACTGAGCCGAAGCCAGAGATTGGTAGCCGGTCGGCCGAGCAGACAGCACACTGGATTTGTGATCCTGTGGTCCTGGGTTCGATCCCAGGCGCCGGCGAGAAACAATGGGCAGAGTTTCTTTCACCCTATGCCCCTGTTACCTAGCAGTAAAATAGGTACCTGGGTGTTAGTCAGCTGTCACGGGCTGCTTCCCGAGGGTGGAGGCCTGGTCGAGGACCGGGCCGCGGGGACACTAAAGCCCCGAAATCATATCAAGATCAAGAAGGAGGCATTTAGGGCGCTTTACACTGCCTAAGTTATGCCAGTCTTGGAGTATGCCACCTCATCATGGAGTCCCCATCTGAAGAAGCATATAATGAAACTGGAAAAGGGTCAGAGGTTTGCAACGAGACTCTTCCCAGAGATACGAGGGTGGGGTATGAGGAGCGCCTGAGGGAACTGTGCCTTACAACACTAGAAATAAGGGAGAGGGGGGGGGGGACATGATAGGAACGTATAAAATACTCAGAGGGATTGACAGAGTGGACAGACTAAATGTTCACACGGAATAATAACAGAATGAGGGGACATGGATGGAAGCTTTTAACTCTGAAGAGTCACAGATGTTAGGAAGTTTTCTTTTAGCATGAGAGTAGTGGGGAAATGAAATGCACTTCAGGAACAAGTTGTGGAAGCAAATGCTATATATAATTTTAAAAACCGGCATGATAGGGAAAGGGGACAGGAGTCATTGCGGTAAACAACCGATGCTCTAAAGGCGGGATCCAAGAGTGAATGCTCGATCCTGCAGACACAACTAGGCGAGTACAACTAGGCGAGTACACACCGAGGCACACAGTCCGTGTCGCGTCTTACCCAGGTTTCCAGATTCTAAGCTAAACCAATGAGTAATGTGCAGTATATTGTACTTTATATTCATACGAGGTTTAATACTCTACTCCCATTCCACCATTCACATACTTCCATCACATCACTTTAATCTGTAACTACAGATGTAGTTATTTTAATCGTCAATACACTTTCAAAGCTCCAATGAGCGATTGATATTTATCACTCTACAACCCTCCATTTGTTTTTTCTTCAATGTATCAACTCCCTCTGCCAGTCTTCCGTAGATTTTTAAACCTTTGGTAGTCTTTTGTCCTTTGTGTTCACAATTCGTGTTCTGCCAGATTTTTATAGTTTGTACATTAGCAAATAATGATGTATCAATTTCACCATAAAAAATATATATATTGTTAAATAGGTCCCAGAACAGCCCTGGGACAACACCTCCCTCCCCCTCCCACCACTCGGTAAGTGGGATAAAATATTTACTCCAGACTAGTTCTGAGAGTCAACTTAGGCCAGCATCCCTTATACCGTGAGCTACCCCCTAAAACAGTGAGTTAACATCGAGATGTGAAATCATTAATAGGAGGAGTAATCATGACACTTACATTATCAAGCTGCTGTTGGGAGAGGTTGGTGCCCAAGAACTCATTCAGTGTTGCAAGTTCCTTCTTTATGTCAGCTTTAAAGTCTTCATAAAACACAAAGTGCAAAAAGGTCTCATCCTTTTGCCCCCAGGCCATCATCAGGTTGGGCCAGTAGGGACAGTACAACACTGTAGATACGAATTACATTTAACTCAATGTTTTACATGGGTAAATAAAAGGTTAAGCCTTTAAATTTCGCAATATATAGTTATCTCCAAAATATACTTGTATAATAAGCTATACGAACTGCAGTTATTTCCGATACTGAAGCAATTAGCTAAAGAACATTTATATTTGATAATTATTTAGAAGTTAAAATTTCAAGACGACACTGAGTTATTGCAGACCTCAGTATCGTACACTATTATACTACTACCGAGGAGAACTGCAACTAAACTGTCAAAAAACAAATACTTGCACTTGTGGCCAATACTAACCACCTACGCTAACTGGCTAGAGCAGCCTGATCCCATTTGTCCAAACACAGAAGGTACCTACCTACAACACTGCACAACACAAACCTGAACACAGTATGCTGTTCCACTATGAAGCCCGTACCTTGCCAAGCACAAGACGAAGATGGAAAAAGGCCAGAGTGTGCTGCACGTTAGAGAAAAGAAGTTCTCACACAACATGCCCATATGTGAAGGCCTGCACAAACCCCAAAGTGAGGGCTGTATTTGGACTACATGAAAGTCCAACTGATCTGTGGGAAGAGTTACAAGATTTAACAGGTTTAACTGAGAAATGTTTAGAGGGAGGTTTTAAACTGGCAGCCAACGGATTCAGCGGAGCGTCGCCTCCCCCTTCCCCCCATCCTGTGCGGTGTGAAGTCATCCTCCTCCTAGGCCTCCCCCACCCTGTGTGACGTCACGAGATGCCACAAGGCCAAGGACTTCATTCGTCGAGGCATGTCAGCCTCTTGACTTTTGGGCGGGAACGTCCGTGTTTGGAAGTGGCATCGTAGGCTCGCCTGCTTTGCTCTAATTGGTCATGGCAAGGTGAGGGGGGGCGTCCTTGCCAGTCCCCTAGGCCGCCAAAAGGCAGTCTAGGACCGGCGATGTGAGAGCAAGACGTTTGGTGGTGGCGGCTTATCTTGAGGTTATCTTGAGATGATTTCGGGGCTTTTTAGTGTCCCCGCGGCCCGGTCCTCGACCAGGCCTCCACCCCCAGGAAGCAGCCCGTGACAGCTGACTAACACCCAGGTACCTATTTTACTGCTAGGTAACAGGGGCATAGGGTGAAAAAAACTCTGCCCATTGTTTCTCGCCGGCGCCTGGGATCGAACCCAGGACCACAGGATCACAAATCCAGCGTGCTGTCCGCTCGGTCGACCGGCTCCCGGCCGTGCCTCTGTCATCACCACCCCTGTTATCGCGGTGTTATCACCATTTCCTCATCACCACAGTGACCCTGCTATCGAGGATCGTGCCTGGCTCCAATTTGCGTGATCGTAGGCTGATTACCAAAAATTTGAGTGAGAAAAGACACTGTATAAGGAACACATGTTCGGAAGAGGCAGCCTCGTTGTGTATCAGATGTGACTCACATCTGAGGTCATCGGTGATGTGACCAAGATGATATTGACCTACACGTTTGGCAGAAAGTAGGATTGGGAAGGGGTTTCTCAAGTGTTTGAAAAGCCCCCGGTTTGCGATTTTAGGGAAATTACGAGTCCAAAACTCCAAGTTTTGCTGCATAACTGGTAAGGCCCACCATGGGGGTACATGACCTGATGCAGAACACGTCTAATTAAGATAACAGGTCCGGTCAGTAACCAAGTAGATGTCACCAGATTCCATATGTGCCGATGTTATGCCTGCTTAACCACAAGTCCAAGTATACCAGTAAATCGAGTAGGAGCAGCAATTAAACTGCCATCGTACTACGACACCAAAGTTGTAAACCAGAAGTAAACTAGCATATACATTGGTGGTACCAGGCAATAGACTACTTCAAGGTCAGGTTCTAATCCATCTGCCAATTTGTCCAGACTACCAAGTGTCTAGTAACCCACCAGACCTATAGCCCAGTATAGAAGCCTCTTCAACACTAAAGTTACCATTCAGCAAGAGAAGGGAAAGATTAATATTTAAAACCTCCAAATACAAGCACTAACAACCGTAACAATTTACGAAGTTATGCCCTGGATGGAAACAAATTATAACTTGCACCTATAGTTAACTGGCAGCTGCCAAATACACAATTTTTTTTTTTTTTTTTATTTTTATTTTTACATGCAAGCATGCGTATAACGTACAAGAAAAACAGAACAAATATAACATAGAACAAAAGTACAAAGCACACATATGTACAAGGACAAAGGAACAAATCAATAGAAGACCAGCCAGAAGGGCTGACCACAAAAAAATGCATATACAAACAAAACACAATTAGTAACACAGTGTAATACAAACATAAGGGAAAACCCCAGGACAAAATGCACACAAAACAAGCCTGCTAACACCTCAAATACATACAGAGAGGCGAGAAACATACAAGAATAAGGACAATAACAATAAAGAAAACAGATCCGCCATAACAAACGGAAGGCAAAACATAACAAAGAGCACACGCCAACAGCCTGAAGGGCACACAATATGACAAACAAGTGCACACGACATCCATAACCGAACACACAAACGCATAGGAACCGCACACCCCCCCACTCACATACACACCCCACAACCAGGCAACACAAAATACATAGAAATCACTTGCGAGGAACCTCGTGAGAAATGTACTTCTCCGGGAACTGCTCACGAGGATATTTCGACTTGTAAGCTTCCCAGACGAGATCTTCAAGGTCGGTAGGGTTTTTGATCCCCCGCGCTCGAGCGGTTATCATAAACTCGGTAACATCTATATCTGGCGGCATCGGCCAAAGCCTAAGGTCACTGACGCAAGTCGCATAACGAGGCTGGGGAGCGCCAACCACGCCCCTCGAGGAAGCAGATGACACCGGAGAAGCGGACGAGGGACGCGGAGCCTGCCGCGCCTTCGCCATCGGAGCAGGTGTCGGACGCTGAGACGACAGCACTTCCACGGATACCGCAGGAGACACGGAAGGGACTGCAGGAAACGGAAGAGGCGGCAAGACCGCTGCCGAGGAAACGGGTAACGAGGAAGGGGCCACAGAACATCCAGAGCGAGCATCCTTTCTCAACATCACCACCAGGCCACCCCGCTCACTACCAACTACAGCAGGGGGAACCACCGCCCACGAAGAACCGGAGCCATCCGACGCAGGACCCTCGGACACCGGACCAGAGGTTGAGGCCGAAACGCCGGCACCGGCATCCTCAGGCAAGTGTACCTCCGCCACCACCGTAGTGTGCACCACATCCGGAGCCACGCCACCGTCAACGGAAGGACGACACTCGTCGAATTCGCCAACATCAGCCCACACAGAAGAACGCCGGGAACGCTTAGGCTCGGGCCGCACATCATCAGACCCGGAGGCAGACTCAGCGACCCGCGCAGCACCAACCGAGCGAACCGACGCACGCCGCAGCACGGCAGCCTCCTCAACCACACGGGGCACCAGGCCAGGCACAGGAGGGAATTCCGGATCCATCTCAGCTCCCAGCACAGCCGGGACAGACGGCGAGGGTGCAGGGACCGGGACAGACACAGCAGAGGAAGAACTGGAAGACGAGGGGACCGAGCAAACGGCAGGCGGAAGAGGCTCAGGGACACCAGCTGGAGCACTAGGCGAGGACACAACCTCCGGAGGAGATGCGGCAACAACAGGGGGCGCAACAGGCGGAGCAACAGCTGCTACAGAGGGCACCTCCTCAGCCGAAGAGACGTCCATACCCACCGAATCATCCCCCACAGGAAGGGGCGGAAAATCCTCCGCACTGAAGAGGTTCACTGGTGCAACAGGAGGCGCAGAACAGTCAGCAGCCTGATGGCCCAAAAGACCACAACGATAACACGTCCGCGGCTGACGGGCGTAAAACACCCGAACGTTGAACCCCATAAGGCGCACAGAGGACGGAATATCCGCCCGGAGTCTCATGCCCAGGGTGCGAATGTTAGACCTCACACCCTTAAGAGGACTAGAAGACACCACGTTCACTCTCACACTAACAACTGCGCCAAACCGCCCGAAATACCGCCGTAGCAGAGCCTCTGGAAACTCCAAGGGAGCCCCATGCACACTGATGTAAGTAAGTGCACCACTTCTATCCGAGAGGGTGACAGTGCCCGCACCATCCGGCAGGGGCAGTGTCCGCCCCTTGTATCGCCGGAGAAAATCGCGATACGCCGCCTCCTCTGCAAACTTCACGATGGCCCTACGGGCCGTTACCAACTCTACCCCATAAATCGCAAACACAGGGACAGAGAGCAGTTCACAAGCCAGGGCAATCTCCGGGTAACCAGCCCGCACAGAGAACTCTAGTCCCACAGACTGAGCCCGGACGACTGGGGGTAGAGGGACCCCCATCGTAACGCCACGTCAGCACAGGCGAGCAGACACACACCCGCCCCCAACCGGCCGAAACGGGCAAACAACACCAAACTGCTGGAGCGCCGATTCAACACGTCTGCCCCGCACCGAAGCTAGGGCCAGACCTCAAATACACAAGTTGTGGAGTCGTGGATACTAAATGACCGTGTGGGGGGGGGGGGGACTTTTAGCATACCAATTGTCCTCATGTGGTGCTACACTTTGTTAAATCTGTACTAATGTGTTGGCAATGATATAACAAGTCGCATGAATTGTATTTTTTGCACCTTGAATATTACGTTCTGATCGTGTTAGCTTTATCCGAGCATTTAATTTGTGCCACCTTGTCGAGGCTTCTCAAACACCACAACTGATTTACTTACAATCATTGTTCATGAAATGTTTGACGAAGTTGTCGAAGGTGCCAGTATAGTTGTGGAACTTTACGTTACAGAAGTGATAGAATAGCGATACAACCACGTCCTTGGGATCTCTAGCAATGTACACCACCTGAAAAACCATCAAATAACCATGATTGAAATTTAGGGTTAAAGATGTAAATTTATTTTTCAAAAAATAATTTAAAATATATATCCAACCAAGACTTTACTACACCATGGTTTAATAGGAGTTATTAAAAGGCAACTACTATTGAACACAGGCTCCCTTCCGAGCCCAAAAGTAAAATCTGGTCATAGCTCTTGTGTCCAATGTAGGCCGACTGAAAGTGCAGCTGGAGCCATCTCTTATGAAGGCCAGCGAAAGAACAGTCATAACTAGACCTTAATTAGGTTTATACAAGTAAAAGCTCTCACGGCTCAAGTTACATTTAGCAAGCTTTAAGACTAAGAAAAGTAACATAAGTATTCCCACTTATGTCTCAAATCTAATCTTATCAAACGTGTATCCCTAGATTTGTGTTCAATTGTGTAATAAATATATTTTTACATATATACACAATAGCTCTATAGATATCCATATATGCAAATCACCCTCCCCCCCCTGCAACTTTCCTTTGACAATGATAGCTTCTGGACCATGTATGCACTATACAAGTGTTAACATGAACAATAGATGTACAGTGGACATCACCATGGTTGATGCACATAGCTTTAGGAGGACATTCCGATCTAGAACGCTAACTGTCTACTACAAAATGACAAACACACACCTCACTGCACTGAAAAGTATCTATCCACATTTTTCAAGTTTATAACATTTGATCAATAAAGACCATTATGTTGCGAGTTTGCAGGGCAAGGATTATTTGATGGGACAAATTACTATGAGTGGCAGGCAAGAAACATCACGCATCCTAGAAGTTACGACGTTCAGCATGGATATGCACAACCGTAAAAGGGACAATGCTGTTCGGGGCAATAAGGAGCAGGGCGGCACTCCATCGAGTGCCCGGGAAAACACTTATACGGCTAATACGTAACCTGGCCAGAGCCGTTTCCCCACCGCCAGTTACGGTGGTGCAAAAGACAGACTACCCTTATGAGCATTCAGTGTTACCAATAACATGACCGACAACCCTGTCAACGGACACTGACGAATTAATGACTTTGCAAAAATCAAGGAAAGCCTGTGTGGGAAATTGACCCAGTGCAGATAAGACTCCTCAGAAGAAGAATTTGCAGGATCATTAGGAAAACTAATATGGCTGGTACCAATGCAAAATTAAACCATTTTAAATTTGCTGGAGATAAACACACTGGAATTTCTACTACCACAGGATGGACTATTAAAATGTCAAGAGCTAGGAGGGCACTGCGAGACTCACTACAATGACAAAGCAATGTAGACATTGAGAAAGTAATCGAGCATACAAAATGGCAAAGTTCTGTCGGGAAGATGCTGGTCTCCAGGGAAAGGCAACAGTTGTGATCAGGAAATGTAACAGTAGCTTGTACCGTCGGCTGACTTGGACCCATCTGTTAAGATTGCAACGTAGCAGTTGTGTGAAAAGTGTAGAGAGGAGAGAGAAAAAAAAATCACAATTGTAGGAGGGAGTAGATGCCTTTGCATTGCGAGTCTAGGTTTTGCAAAGATTTGCAATAGTGACCTCTGAATGGGGGCTAGGATGGACCGACACAAATATTGGCAACTAACAATATCTTGCAAGGGAGAGAAAACGGTTAAAAGGTCAAGAGGAGCAGGGGCCTACGGAAGAGGCAACGATCAAAGCACAACACAAGCGAGTGTGACGGTGTTGTGGGGACCGCGCAAGGTAGCATGGACAGTAGGGATCACTACGATCTTTTAAAGCCAGGATGCCAGTAAAAACACACAGGGCCAGGAGTCTAACGACCCCGTACCGGGCCAAACACCAGAGCCGAGGTGTAACCTAGTATGGTGAAGATCATCAAGACGAGGAGTTGAAGGAGAATCAGACGAGTAAACGAGAATCATAACCGAGTTTCGACAGCATGCGAGAGGAATGCACATCTCTCCAAGTAGTATTGGACAAGACTAAGTTAAAGGCCTTAAAACATTCAACTGCGAGGCAAGAGACGGGAGGCCACCAAGACAATCTTGTCAAATATTAACCGCGAAAGTTAAACTGTATACCAAGAGGACTGCAATAACGCAAAAACGAAGGACGAGAAACTTTCTTCCTAGTAAAAGTCGTAACCTTTACACATCTGTAGCAGAAAACTTGAGCCATAAATGATGGCCCCAGGATGACTGCTTCAATTCCATAGCAGAGGGGCAAGATCAACATAGAAAGTGGAGAAATGCCTAGGAGAAAGGCTGGAAAGAATACCATTGAAGGCAACCAGGAAAAATAAAGTGCTGAGAACACTGCTTTGGGGGGTACCCTTTCATACTGTCGAAAATAGGTAGCGAGAGTGGTACCAAGCCTCGCTCTAAGGGAATGACTAAGAGAGAGCCTTGCAGGAAGAGGGAGATTGCCACGAAGACCTAAATAACTAGGTTGGGACAGTGTCATCTCCAAGTGGTGTCATATCCAGGTTCTCTCGTCCCAAGTGAACCTGATTTCTGACAAGGAACAACACCTGCTTGAAGTCACTCCCCGGGAACTGACGACCCTTCTCGACCCGACCCTTCCCTTCCCCCAGATACGGTTATAACTATTCGGCCAATAAAGTGTGCATGGAGGGAGATGCCATAGCGTCTGTGTCATCAGAGCCCGCTGCCATAGAACAGCAGACGATCAGAGTAGACGAGTTGCTGGAGAGAAATTCTTGGGATAGCTGGAGATGTATGCAAAAAGGGGCAAAGGGACAAGAGTCATATTGGGATTCCGAAAAATGACAGAGGGAGGAATAAATGAAACAGCCAACAGCCGAAAAGTGTGAACCCAGTTCGGACGCGATCGACATCTGATCTGCCACAACAGAACCTCGGAGATGAAATACTGGAAAAATCTAGAACAACTTACTGATATTAGGCAATTTTTCAGATCTGGGGGATAGCAGTGTCAATCATAATTAATGAAGATTTCAAACTTCTGCTTAGCCTCACTGATGGCCCCATAGGCCACTGCACTCTTTAGCAAAATCAAATACGAGATTCTGCGTTTATTGGCGCTGGCGTTTCTTCCAGGCTGCACGCTTACAGCACACTCCGAGCAGTCGGATTTCCAGCAAGGAACACTTCCGCGTGTCCCGAGACGAAGAAAAAATTAAAGATCCAGATCAGAGGTAACAAACTCACCTAGGAAGGGTGAAAAATGTTACAAGGATGGGAAAATGTTATCGAGGTCAAGAACCCACCGCATGGAAGCCAAATAAATACAAGATAAAGAGAAGAATAAAGAGAAGAGTGGGATACATTTCATCAAAGAAAGCGTCAGATGGAGAACTATTGTGTGGGCATCTCCAGTGGGGAAGAGTTAACTCCACCACAGATGGGATGAGAAACTGGGACAAAGCTAAAAGTAGAAAGTAGGGGGATCGACATACTGCTTCTGACCAGTTGGGAACGAAGACAGGATCCAGGTTTACGCTTCTGACATGTACAAGTACCAGGAGACATGTACTGTGTGATAGCCTCCACAGTCTATAGGAGAGGAAGATCTTTAGAGAACACGGAGATGACCGGCAGGAGGATGACATCGGTCACGTGTTGTGAAACTGCGAAATAAAAATGAGGCCGAGAATAGACATGGGATTAGGAAGGGAATGCTGCAGCGGAGAGAAGAGGGAGGATGGAGAACTAATGAACTAAACGGCAGGAGAAGATTGGTAGGGAACCGCGAGGAAGATTCTGCGGTCAGAATGGGGAGGATCGTAAAACGGAGTTACTGAAGATATTTTGGTTTAAGGCCTGGCTACAGTTGTGGAAGCTAGAAAGGGGGCCGAGTGGTGGAGTAGAAAAGTGATGCAACACTAGCTCAAGTCATGTCAGAAAGAGTCTAGATATTTTCCTTTGCATCTTGCTCCAGGGGAAAAAATCTGATCACAATGTTTAGTGTTGAGAATGGCTTTCTTAAATTCTTAGTGTATGTACGAACGCAAGAAGGCAGGGTTGGCGTCACCGCAAGTCGTGGAGCGAGACTGGGGAGAAAAACATTTGATCTTTTAGTGGCCTAGATCTCCACACAGGTACACTACCTCTTGTGATGCTCTAGTGACATGTCCAAATTTCCAACACCTATGGCAGAGGTGTAAGTAAGTAAGTAATTATCAAAAGAAGGCACCAAACCGGGAAGGCTATGTAGCACCATCAAATACGCAAAATAATCAGAGGGCGCTAAATATCACCAAGGATGCCAATACGAGAACAAAAACGCACAAGGCGAACGATATCAAAAGTATCCGAGTCACCAAGAATTCTATCGAGGGACAGGTGACCGCGAGGGGCGGTCGGAAAGCAAGACACGCTCGTCCTGGAAGTCAGGACATTCAAGAAGGACATGCACGACCATAAGAGGGACAATGCAACTAGGACAATAAGGAGCAGGGCGGCGCTCCATCAAGTGACCATGGGTTAAGCGAGTATGGCCAATACGCAACCTCGCCAGAGCTGTTTCCCACCGCCGGTTTCGGTGGAAGGAGGACGGCCATGAGTAAACACAACATTTAAGAGTACGTAGCTTGTTACCAGTAACAGACAACCAAGAAGCCTGCCAACGGGTAAGGACTGAGGAATGGATAACCGGGTAAAAGTCGGAATATGGAATGCCTTTACGAGAGATGGGACAAGAGCGGACAGCTTCCTTAGCGGCAGCATCCGCACGCTCATTTAAAGACACACCAATATGGCTGGGAACCCAACAAAACTCAACCGACTTAAATTTACTGTGAACGAGAAACGGCCAATGCTGGATCTCGACAACTACTGGATGAAGCGGATTAAAGGACCCGAGAGCCATGAGGGCACTACGAGAGTCAACAACAACCACAAAGGAAGACTGACAACGAGAAAGCAGGAGACGAAGAGCAGAGAGAATAGCATAAAGTTCCGCTGTAAAGATGCTAGTCTCCGGAGGCAAGCGACACATATAAGTGCGATCAGGAAAAACAACAGAGTAGCCAACA